TTGTGCATGTTATTGCCTGTCCCATTGACAGTGCCATTGTAATTTATTGCGCATCATTACCCAAGTATCCGGTTGGAACTCTTGTGATCCCTTTGCACACCGGCAGTTAGGTTTACCGTGTTAATGATTGGCTGTCAACTGTGTTAAGTTAGGTGTTTCTCCACGAGTGGATCCGAATCAATTAGCCAGACGTCAAGAGTCTCGCTAATGCAACCATAGCCTTTCTGACGCCAATCTTAAGTAAATCAAGCACCCTTTGTATTAGTGGTTAAGTTAGTAAATAAACTACTGTTAAGCTTTATGCGATGTTTCCGTTGAACCACTTCTGAATACTGCCAACTATTTACTTAAGCCTTCAACTCCAGGTGTCTCCAACACTGGGTTGCCTATTATTCACTGAACTATAAATATGATGAGGACCCTAGGAGTCCCTTAAAGTGTTTCAATCATTGAGGAGATTCCAACGATCAACGTGGACCATGACCAGGTGAGGCTAGTCTGAGAAGAGACCCTCAAGGACTCTAACTCGACCTTGCTCCCAGGTCCTGTACGGTCGCTCTCGTATTTTCTCTGCTGATTCCGACAGCTTCGTGAAGCGTCTGCCACATGTACGTTGGCGATGTACGCATTGCAGTTGGGAAAGCAAAATAGAAAACCCCACACTGAGCAACCCGAGCCCTCCAAAGCGACAACCAAACCACTGTGAACTCCCACACCGTGCTGTGAGCCTGACAGAAGGGCAGGCCCCTACCATACCTGGCCGGCCTGGTGAGCACAGGTCACAAAGTCCCAGCTGAGAGACGACGCATTCGTGAACACATCGAGCAAGGGCTCAAAGAGGCACCAAGGCAATGAACCCAGAAAACCCGAAGAGGAAGTCAGTGACGCAGCAACTGACACAAGGCCCATGGAGGCCGAACCCAGCAATCGTGAGTGAGGCAGAAAGGACATCCCAGAAGGAACCGGAACAGACGCCGAAGCCAAACTCGACCCGGCAGGTAAACTAGCACGGCGAAGTTCAGACTCCCACACAACTGCTCAAGCCACCGCCAAGTGACCTGGGAATCTCCCAGAAACAGCTGAAGGTAAGACTGCAGCCGCAGCAATGCCTCTGGAGGGAGAGACAAGGTAGCGAACCAAGAGTCCCACACAAGGCCCACCCAGGTCCGAACCTGGAACGAAACCAGATGGGACCTCCTCCAGTGCACCAGGAACCCGAACCTGCCGAACTGGGAAAGAACCACCCCTCCGGTGAGCAGACAAGTAGACTGGCTGGGAGCCCACACCAACCAATCATCGAGATGGGCTAATACCCAAATACCGAGCAGACATAGAAAAGCCACCACCAATCGTATAATATACAGAAAACGCGAGGTGCCAGAAGCCGACCAAAGGAAAGGCAATGAAAACGAGAAGCATGCCGCCCCACCATGAATCAAACTGATCCCTGAACCCCAGATGAAGTGGGACATGCCAACACACATCCCAAAGTACCAGAGATACCACCCAACAACCCAGCCCCAAAAAGAGCCGAATCTGGGACAGAGTCATCCAGAAGGAATTCAGCAGTACAGACAGGACAAATCCAGAAGGAACTGAAGATATGCACAGTCCCGATGCGAGACTGGAACAAGATGACTCGATGGAGCGAAGGGGAAGAACCTTGCCCCGCCAGCCCCGAACCCCCCGAAGGAGGAGCCGCCCAACGCCACCACAGGCCAGAGGACACGACATGACCCACCCATGAAACATGGGACCAAGCGTGGGCAAACAGAGCCAGACTCATCACCAGCGCCCCGTCAACAAGGTGACCTGCGAAGGGACCGGCGCCTCATCTGAGGGAAAAGAAAAAACTCAGAAAAGAATAAAAAGAAAAAGCAAGACGCCAACTTCCGAGCAGAGTGAGCACCGAGTTGACCAGACGAAGACGGCTTTGGAGGAGGCACTGGCACATAATCTGCATCAAAGGACCACTTCGACAAGCAGAAGCCAGAACCCCAGCACGATCACAAAACTCATGCCAAGACCAAGAAGAGGTGCAGTCTGCAAGCCAGGAAGACCCCGGAACCCAAGAAGAGGCAATACCAGGGTGCACAGGAGGGAACCAAGGGCCACCCAAAACTCCAAAGGGGAAACCCGAAAGGAAGAAAACCCAAAGGAACAGAGAAGCGAATCTGGGGGAGCCCTAACCGCCATATTTGGCGGCAAAAAATGCACCACAAAAAGGAAAGACAAAACACATGACCCAGACAGTCCCCAGTGAAAACAGATAGAAAACGTTCCGAAAACTGAGGGGCAAAAGGCGTGGTTGCAAGGAAATAATACCGGCACGGACACTGGGGCCAAAAACCCAGGACCCAGAACCCAAATAGAGACAGAAAAACACAAAACCGTGCAAAAAAACAACACCCAAATGTTCCCAGAGGAACAGAAAGGGAAGAATGCCTCATAAGAAAGAACAAAATAGAGACACGGCTATGGGAGTATAAAAAACTCCAGTCGGAGGCGAAAAATTACCCCAAAACGTGAGCTCACATTCCCAGCACATGTAAATGAACAAACAACAGCGCTGCCCTTGTGGCCAGGTGGGTAAGCGCCTGCAAAAATAAAATAGCCACCCAGACAAAAGGAGAAGCGTCCGACGCAAGGGAGCCGAAATCATGCCAGCAAATGTGGGAAACAAAGCAGACGGGAGGAGGGACGAAAAAAACCCAGCACAGAAGGCATAAAGCCCAAATAGGGGCAAACAGCCCCAGAACTGCTAGCAGGCTCCCCCCACAGTCCCGGGAAACCCCAACAGAGGCCTCTGAGCAGAGCTGTTCTCCACGCCCTCTACCCCTGAAGAAAAGGCCAGTCCAGGGGAAAAGTAGCAAAGAAGGGGTCTGCTGGTATGACCCAGAAGCCTCGGCAAGAGGAGCAGGCTTGAATGCCTCCTTCCCCAACCCGAAAGGGGCAGCCACCGAAGCTGCCCAAGTCTCATCACCAACTAAACCCCACCCCGATCCCAAAACCCTCAGACATTTTGGAGCCAAGAGCTGGGGAAAAGGGTGGGACAGGTCGATCAACGCCTAACCAAGACAGGGCATCTGGGTGGGCAACCAACCTGATGTGTTACAGTAACCTAAACCTAGCATGCAACGCGGATACCGCCTGTACCTGAATATGAATGTTATCAGACTGGGTAATTTGGAGAACAAGCAGAGAACACGATTCGCATGACTCCGGGTCAAAGGTGTCATTGACCCAACAGGCAGCATAATGGAGGCAAAAGTGGTAACGGCCACCCTGAGACAAGGGCACACAGCAACCTTCAAACTCGCACAAGGTGAGCTGGAACTTGGAAGACTCATCCATAGGTCCACCAAACCCCGACAGGGTTTTCCAGGGCCTGTAGGCTGACTGGTACGAGAGGCCTGGGCAAGGTGTTGCTAACCAGTTAGACCCAAAGCTAACACGGGGATGATCAAAACACTAAAACCCCTGCGACGTGTACAGTCACGAGGACCTAGTGGAGGGCCACCAAAGCAATGTAAGTGGTCCTATAGCCACAAAGCAGACCCCCCCTCCCACCAGGCAAAGAACAAAAATAAAAGAAAACCCCCACAACAGTACAACGTTCCCAGAGAAAACAGGAACCGGCCGCTGCATAGGTAAGCTGGCTGTGCAACACCTTGATGCCCCAACCAGCAACAGTACCACTCCCTACCCAAGACCAAACAAGAAACCCCAGCTGGCCCCCAAGGGTGGGGTAAATGCTGAGCAGCAAAAACCTCTACAGAAATGGCATCCCAAAGACACAAGGAACGAAAACCCTAGCACCCTAGAGGTAGTATTCACAGGGAACTTAGGGAAGGCTGCCCTAAGCACATGCAGCCCCGGCACACTAAGTACACCTGGTCACCACACCACAAGCCAGCAGAGAACACCACTAAAGCAAAACATTGCCAGGAAACCGAGGCCAGAGTTGACAACCGCCCCAGATCGCATTAGCCAACAAACTGGTGTTGCTGAGTAGCCGGTGCAGAAGGTCTGGGGATGCCCTCCAACCCCCTCCCGAGGAGAGGAGGGCTGTTTGAACAAGCGACGCAGCAGTGAGGTATAACGTTTGCTTGTTACCTTGGGATTTGGAGGAGTTTTGCCTCTCTGTTTGGTTTTCAGTTGCAATTTTCTTATCATGTGGGGTTTGTTTTGTTATGCCTACCTTGCTGCTTGCCTAACCCCGGCCGATGGCAGATTAGGAAACCCCCAACCACATATGGGGTTTTCCAGGGGCCATGGCTCCCTGTGCCTCTCTGAGGGGGCCAGGTTCTGGTTCGTGGTCCCCAGTAGGCTCAACTCCATTGACTAATGCCCTGGTCTAATATATCACATATTAGCCTGATAGCTCCAGGGAGCTGAAGGGGCTCCCCACAGAAAACTTGTGCGAAGTCAGCTGAAGAGACTTGTGTGTAGTCAGCATAAAAAACCTGTGTAAAGTCAGTTTGATTAAGAAACTTCTGTCAAGTCAACTAGATTAAGAAACTTGTTGAAGTCAACTCAATGAATGAGCTTAGTTAATACAGTTTTATTCACCAGTGGTGGCTTCCTTGGTTTAAGTTTAGACGTTGAAAAGGGCGGACTTAGAAGAGTTTATAATAAGACTATTACAAATGACTCTGCATCACTATTAATGCTTAACAAAAACAGATGGGAACAAACTTTTATAGGCTCCAAAATTAGTTTTTAATTTTCTTATATTTTAAAATTACGTATTTTATAATCTTGATATATTTGAGGTTAAAAAAATATATGTATTTTCCGTCATTTAACATATAATATAATTAAATCAATTTGCCTAATTTAAATCCTAAACCTCCCAATTATGTTTCCTATTACTTGCATTGATGATTTTAGCAGCCTAATCCCTATTTTTTCCATTTCGAGCCTATCGCTAACTAAATTAAAGAAAAATAGTCACAAGGTGCAGCACATCACAGAACATGGATTGTGGGTCTGCTTACTTTTTCCCCTCTAGCACATCCTCCACCTTGCGCTCACTCGAGTAGACATTGGTGGCGCTGGCGTCGAACAGGAGGCTCTGGATCAAGTCCTTGTCGCCTGGAGAAGATAAGCTATTAAGGACACTCAAAAAACATAACGGTCTCGTTAGATTATTGTATATTCACAGGGGATATATACACACCTAGAGTGTTAGCCCTCTTCTATGTATATATGCACTGAAAGTTTACTTTTGTCCTGGACTATATTCAAGGTTAACATGTTCCTGCTGGTTGGTCAATATGCATTTGTGGTAGGTTTAATAACCTTCTAAGAGGTTGATAGGTATTAAGCCCAACACTGAACAATTCTGTACATGCTATCCTGCTTAAGATGTTCACCCACACACACACACCAAAGCGTGTGATAAATAAATTAAGGAAATAATTACATTCTTTATCTATTTATTAGAAAGGTGTTGCCATTATTACATCGGAAGACAGTACTGCTACAACAAAAATAATACATTAGAAGATGGTTGTACTTCAGTAACTAGGAATACACCATGGGACTGAGTTCTGCTACAGAAGCTAATATCACATCAAACGACTGAGTTCTACTCCATAAACTATTATCAGCACCAAAGGAAAACTGCACCAAATCTTAAAATAAAACTGAATAAAAAGCAGACACCCACACCCATATATGAAAAAGATACTTACAGTAATAGTTATCCTTCCTGTCGTCATCATGGGCCGAGGACTTCCAGGTGTTGACTGCATGGTTGCGAGACGAGAAGGTGAGGTTAGTGGGTCACAAACCACGCCAGGGAACCATAGCAAGGCAAAGGACAGGACAGGTTTGATCAGTATAAACTATTGGTCAGCATCAATACGGACACATTGCACTGACAGCATGTCAATCACCAGCCCATGCTCCTGTTTTGGTAGTACTGTACTTATAATAATGATGAGGACCATATGTTGACCAGACCACACACTAGAAATTGAAGGGACGACGACGTTTCAGTCCGTCCTGGACCATTCTCAAGTCGATTCGACTTGAGAATGGTCCAGGACGGACCGAAACGTCGTCGTCCCTTCAATTTCTAGTGTGTGGTCTGGTCAACATACTTCAGCCACGTTATTGTGACTCATCGCCTGCATGAGGACCATAGTACATATACCGACATACAAAGCAATTAGAAATCTGTACTGTTGAATTTAGACAAAGTGGGAAAGATTTTGTTATTTATGTGGCAAAGACAAACTAAACTAACCTAACCTAACCTTCCTAGGTCTAATACTATAAGTGAATACAGTACATCAATATTTGTACTATGGTGCACATACTAACAAAAACTACTATTTGAACAGGAGGATGGGTTGCAATCATCGCCAAGATATAAGCATAACACAAGCATTGTAAATAATATTTATACAGTGGAACCTCGATTAACGAATTTAATCCGTTCCGGCACCGAGTTCGTCATGTGAAACGCTCGACTTTCGAAACAAATTTCCCCATTTAAAATAATGGAAATAAAATTAAATCCGTTCTACCGCCAAAAACATCAGTACGATATTCGATTTTTTAAATAATGGAGCAGCCTATCTGACATACACTGAACAAACCTTTATGACATTTTTCTTTTTTCAAATTAGTTAAAAAAAAAATTATTTTTCAATTTTTTTTTAAGAAAATGGAGCAACCTACCTGACATATACTGAAAAAACCTTTATGACATTTTTTCTTTTTTCAAATTTTTTCAATTTTCTTTTGGTTTTTATTTTTTTACAGAAAAATGTTTGTTCGGTATATGTCAGGTAGGCTGCTCCATTTTGTATAAAAAAAAAACGAAAAATATAAATTATTGAACAAATTTGAAAAAATGAAAAATGTCATAAAGGTTCGTTCAGTGTCTGTCTGGTAGGATGCTCCATTATGACATTTTTTCTATTTTTCATATTCAATTTGGTTTGCATTTTTCATTTTTTTATTAATAATGGAGCAGTCTACCTGGCACACACTGAACGAACCTTTATGACTTTTTCCTTTTTTCAAATTTGTTCAATTTTTTTTCTTTTTATTTGTTTTTATACAAAATGGAGCTACCTACCTGACAATCACTGAACAAAACTTTGACATTTTTTTTTTTTTTTTTTTTTTTTTGGTAAAAAATGTAGCAGCCTACCTGACATTCACTGAATAAACCTTTCTGGGAGGAGCCCCGTCAGCTCCCCGGAGCTATACCAGGCTGATATGCTAATGTCAGACTTTGGCATCAGTCATGTGTATGGAGTTCTAGGGCCTACCGGTCACCACGGCCAGTGGTGTGCCAAAGTCTGACATTAGCATATCAGCCTGGTATAGCTCCGGGAAGCCTCCGGGTCTCACCCAGAAAATGGTGTTTCATTACATTCAACGCTGGTTTTTTGACATTTGTTCTTTTTCGTTTTTTTTTCTCTTCTTTTCTAATTTTGTCTAAAAAACAAAAATCAATTCTTTGCAACATTACAGCAGTCACCCCTTTACAGCCCAGCATCATTAGCATCTTTAAAACAAAATAAAAATTATTTGCATCGTTGGAGGTCTCTGAGAATTTGCAAGAACCAGCAAGAACGCTAATAAGCACCATGTGCCTTTCTCGTTAATCAAGTGCAAGCTCGTCAATCGAGACAAATTTTCTCCGAATGGCGCACTCATTATTCGAAATGCTAGTAGATTGAGGCGCTCATCACTCGAGGTTCCACTGTATTATGCTAACAAAGAAATCAGTGTAGGAATTTATAATGTTCTAAAAAATGTTGAAGAACAAATCTGAAATAAAATTTGCAATGCATGTTGGCTATGAATGTGGGACCACAGGATAGGACCAAGAATTAGTGGGGCCCCCTGTAACCTGTGATCCCAAAAGCAAAGATTGACGAACAAAAGACGTTCAATAAAATCAGATCGAATCAGTTAAAAAAACCAGCATTGAATGTAATGAAACGCCATTTTCTGGGTGAGACCCAGAGGTTCCCCGAAGCTGTCCGGGCTGATATGAATATTAGACCCCTGGCAACAGTCAATGCACTAGGCCTGCCAGGGACCACGAGCCAAAACCTGGCCCCGCTCAGAGAGGCACAAGGAGCAATGGCCTATAGAAATTCCCATGTGGTTGGAAGCATTCTATGTGTGCCAACAACCAGATCAGGCACCCAGAAAGGTAAGTGCCCCAAAACAAACCCCTATTATGGTTAAAATAGTGCTAATGAAAACCAAACTAGTGAACAGTACTCCCCAAATTAAAACAAGCACCATGCCGCCATCTGTGCAATCTCCCCCTCCAGGGGAGAGGGAAGGGGAAGCCCCAGATCCCCACGCTGGCTATCCACACCCAAGTTTTGAGGCTGGACGTCATAACACACGAAAGAAACGTTGACCGGAGGGAGGGTTGCCAATGAGCCTCCGGGTCTATTTTCTATCAGAAAATAGTGTTTCATTACGTTCAATGCTGGTTTTCTGGGGGGCAACGAACCCTGAAAAACTCAAAGAGGAAGCCGGCAACGCAGCAACCGAAGCAAAGCCCACAGAGGCTAAGCCCAGCGGTTGTGAAGAGGCAGAAGGGATGTCCCTGAAGGAACCAGAACAGTCGACGAAGCCAAATCCGACCTGGCAAGTAGACCATCATGGCAAAGTTCAGGCTCCCGCACAAATCCTCGAGCAATTGCTGCGTGACCTGGGATCCCCCCAGAAACAGGCGGGGGGATCTGGGGGATCCCCCCAGCTACACTGCAGCTGTAGCAGAGCCTCCGGAGGAAGAGACGAGGAAGTGGTCTGAGAGTCCCACACAAGACCCAGCCAAGACCAAACCTGAGAGGGAACCAGATGGGACTTAACATTCGCTCAGTTCACCAGGAACCCGAACCTGGCAAGCTGAGACAGAACCAAATCCCTGGCGAGCTGACAAGTGAACTGGTTAGGAGCCTACACAAGCCAGTCATCGAGGTAGGCCAGCACCTGAACCACTGAAAGATGCAGACAGGCCACCACGACCCGGGTAAGTCATGTAAAAACACAAGGTGCCAGATTCAAACCGAATGGAAGCAACGAAAGCGTTAAACCCTAATTCCCCACAACAAAACCGAGCCAGTCCCTGAACCACAGATAAATCAGGACATGCCAATACGCATCCTTGAGGTCCAAGGACACCACCCAAGTGCCCAGCTTCAAAAGAAGATGGACCTGGGACAGAGTACTCATCCGAAAGGAGGGGCAATAAACCCATAGGTTCAGATGGGACAAATCCAGAATGAACTTGAGGTCCGTGCAGTTCTGCTTCGGAACTGGTAACAGACGGGAATCCCACCGGAGGGATGAAGTCGTTTCGACCATGCCCAGGCAAACCCACTCCAAGATGACCCGACAGAGCACAGGAGAAGAGGCCTGCCCTGCTAACCCCGAACTTCCTAAGGAGGAGAGGCCATGAAATGCAACCGCAGACCGCATGAAACGACCTGAAAAGCCCACAAATTGTGGAACCAGGTATGAGCAAACAGCACGATCCTTCCCCCCCCCCCCCCCCCATCCCCCGTCAATGGGATGAACCTCAAAAGGGCCGACGCCCTTTACACGAACCCCAGTCTCTGCACAGAGCGATCACCGCGCCGACCAGACGAAGATGGTTCCGAAGGCTGCACCGGCTCTAAAGCTGGCACCACTGCCCTACCATGATGGGAGGAACCCCGAGCCCTGGCATGACTCTTCCGAGAAGACCCCCCACTGGCGCCCCGGAAAACCAACAAGTCCAACATAACAAATGCCAAAGAGAAAAAGGAGCAGTCCGCAAGCCAGGACGACTCCGGAATCTCACAACAAACCCAGTGAGCAAAAAATGATCCAAACACAAAGGAAGAAGGATTCATTACGATGGCATAATCCGAGTCGAGCAAGAGGTAAGCCACAAGGGCGTCCTGCACCACATGAGGCGGGATGCGAGAGGCCTAAAACCTCTGGAAAGACGGAACCAAACCCGGGTAGGGGGGTAGACTCCAAATCCAATTTGTAAGAGGAAGGGGAAAAAGAAAACCCCATTCCTTGTAACACCAAGTCCCACTCAGAGGGTACAAAAATCCAAGCAGGTATTCAACAGGGCCCAAGGCCAAGGCCCAAGTCAACCCCTCCCCCGCTCCGGGAACCTCCCCATGAGGACCCGGGGCCAAGTTATCCTCCAAACCCGGGCCAAGCCATCCTCCAAACCCGAAAAAGCAGGAACAAAGGGGGCCCATTGGTCAGACCCAGAAGCTTCAGCTAGAGGACCAGGCTCGAATGCCTCCATCACCACACCAGAAGGGGCATCCCCAAAACTGCCCGAGTCTCAACACCAACTAAACCCTGCCGCGACCCCGAAACCTTAGACGCTTCGGAACTGGAAGCAAGGGGGAGGGGATGACCAGAACAAACAACAGAAGAGGAAGGACAAGGGGGCACAGACAGAACCAAAGTTGAAGCGACTAACATCCCGGGTCCAGGTCCCTATAACCAAAATGGGGCAGTCTCGGGGTATCCGGGGTACCAACCAACCTAGCACGTTGCAGCAACCGAAACCGAGCATGTAATGCAGAAACTGCCTGCACCCGCATATCATGATCAGTGCATATCATGGGTGAATAGGAGTACAAAAAACCAGCGTTGAATGTAATGAAACGCCATTTTCTGGGTGAGCCCCAGGAGGCTCCCTGGAGCTTATCGGGCTAATATATGTTATGTTAGACCGGGACATTAGCTATGG